AATTTAAAGATGTAACTGTCAACATAATTAAAAATGATCAAATCTCATACTTGAATCTCGGTCCAAATTTTATCCTTAGCCGCTTCTAATGCAGGAATTCTCCCGTTATCGTAAGTAATCAGAACTTGCGAACGTACAACTGCTCCAATATAACTTGTCAGCAGCACACCATTAGGCTCAACCAACTGATCTCTTTCATTCCAATGGACATCGTACTTTACACCTCTATCTCTCGCACGAATGATTCTTTTCATTATCGTTATGCCTCTTTTAATTTCGCCTTCAACGTCTTTGGGTGTTTCTTTTCCATCATGCGATGTTTCCTCGTTGCTGGCCATAATATACTTGTAATTCAGAATAACAACAACAACAACAAATATCAACAACCATAACAACAAATGTCATATTAAACAACAACAACAAACCATCTATATCAAATATAAACTATATCTCATATTTATAATCAACAACAACAACAAATATCATATTAAACAACAACAACAACAATCTATATCAAATATACACTATATCTCATATTTCATATCAACAACAACAACAAATATCATATTAAACAACAACAACAACAATATATATCAAATATATATATCTCATATTTTACATCAACAACAACAACAAATATCATATTAAACAACAACAACAACAATATATATCAAATATATATATCTCATATTTTACATCAACAACAACAACAACAATATATATATATATATATATATATATATATATATATATATATATATATATATATATATATATATATATATATATATATATATATATATATATATATATATATATATATATATATATATATATATATATATATATATATATATATATATATATATATATATATATATATATATATATATATATATATATATATATATATATATATATATATATATATATATATATATATATATATATATATATATATATATATATATATATATATATATATATATATATATATATATATATATATATATATATATATATATATATATATATATATATATATATCATATTTTACATCAACAACAACAACAAATATCATATTAAACAACAACAACCACAATCTATATCAAATATAAACTATATCTCATATTTTACAACAACAACAAACAACAAATATCATATTTTACAACAACAACAAACAACAAATATCATATATCAAATATTAAACTATATCAAATATCAAATATCAAATATATCTCAATAAAAAAACATCAAATATCATATATCAAATATCATATATTAAACTATATATATATATATATATATATATATATATATATATATATATATATATATATATATATATATATATATATATATATATATATATATATATATATATATATATATATATATATATATATATATATATATATATATATATATATATATATATATATATATATATATATATATATATATATATATATATATATATATATATATATATATATATATATATATATATATATATATATATATATATATATATATATATATATATATATATATCAACAACAACAACAAAAACAATCAGAACAACAACAACAACAACAACAAATAACACAACAACAACAACAACAAAAACTCAAATATCTCATATTTTACATCAACAACAACAACAATATGATATATATCTCATATATCATATTAAACCTTCAATATCATATTTTACATAAACCTTCAATATCATATTTTACATAAACCATCAGAACAACAACAGCAACAACAAATAACACAAAACCTTCAATATCATATTTTACACTAAACCTTCAATAACTCAGATAACACAAAACCTTCAATAAAAACAACAACAACAACAATATAAAACCATCTATTATGTTCAAATACCATCTATATAAAACCATCTATATCATCAGAACAACAATGGTGAAAAGATAAAAAAAAAAAAAAAACAAGAAAAGCAGAGCAAGCTTCACGTACCGTAACAATGGTGGACCGGCAATGCAGACAGATGGATGAACTCAAAAACGGACGGTGAACGGTCGGTGATGGTCAGAAGGATGATCAGACGGAAGAAGGCGATGGTCGGACGATGAACAGTGGGTGGTTGGTTCGTGTTTTCGTTCGCCAGAGAAAGAAGAAATAGTTAGCGTGACTGTTCTGATTCTATTAAAATTCTGGAGGGTATTTTAAAATTATAATATGAATACCTTTAGCAGCGCTTTTAAAGGACTTTAGCAGCGCTTTTAAAAGCGCTTTCATAGGGTGCCTTATCAATTCCATATAGCAGCGCTTTATATAAAAAGCGCTTTCTAAGGGTCCCCCTTTAGCAGCGCTTTAAAAAGCGCTTTCTTAGAGCCCCTCTTTAGCAGCGCTTTTTAAAAGCGCTTTCTTAGACCCACCATTTAGCAGCGCTTTTTTAAAAGCGCTGTCTTAGGTAGGCGCTTTTTTTCTTTTTCTTTTTTATGGCCCTTTAGCAGCGCTTTTGTAAAAAGCGCTGTCTTTCTATGCGCTGCTAAAAGTGATTTCTGGCGTAGTGAATAAATAACAAAAATATTAACATGATCTCAATCTAAACACTGACTAAAATTAAACAAAACTTAAAATAACAACATGTCAACAAATATACAGCAAAATCAACAATAACCTATAACATCAATCTCAATAAACCTATAACGTATTTATTTCAACAAAAACAATACCATATAACATCGATCTCAGTTTAAACAACGACCAACTTAAACTCCTAATGAGTATAAAAAATAACAACAATATTAAACATCTAAGATTTCGGGGCTCCACAACAACATTAATGTAACATGAATAATGAAGTTAGACATACCAGATATGTGAAGAAGAAGTGGAGAAGAAGAAGAAGAAGAAGAAGAAGAAGAAGAACAAGAAGAAAAGAAGAATCGAACATGGACCCTAAACACATATCATCTTCGTATTTTCTTTCTTTTTCATGAGTTGGAGGATAATATGTCTTTAGGGCTGTTGTTGCTCAGATCTTTTCGCTGGGATTATGTGGGAGTTGTTTTATTATATATTTTTAGGCAAGTGAAATTGAACACTACAAGCTAAGCTATATATATCAGTGTAAATAACTTCACCTTGGTTTTTAAAGAAAACCATGGTGAAAAGTGGACTTTTACCTCTCAGTTTCATAAAAAGAACTGAGGTAATTTACTTGAAAAATAATGGTGAACGGTAAAAAAAATTAAAAAGTAACATGTATTATTTCCTTTTTCAATTTTTTAAACATTCACCACTTTTTGTGTGTGTTGCAATATTCAAACAAAGAAAGCATGTTTAAGAATAAATTTCTCAATATTGTCAACCAAAGAAAGCAATAAATTATGAATTATTTTCTTTAATTGACAACATGAGAAGGTTATTTCAAAATTTAAACAATAACATTGAAGAGGTGGCAACGACAATGATGTGTACGAGTTTGGAGCGGCTATAGATGCATTAGAATTAAGGTTTACGAGTACTTTTATAGTAAAATCTAATCATCTAAACCCCCGGTTATTAAAAAAATTGAAGAAAAATATCATTTAATTTACAAATAAATAATAAAATAAAATAAAGACACCACTTTTAAAGAAATAAAAACATAAACTATATTTGTTGTGATTCAAATCATGTCTTAAATTAGTTTTTTTCTCGGTTATTTGAGAAACCGAGGAAATAAATGATATTTTAAAAAATATATATAATACATCCTGAAATTATACCTCAGTTTTTTGTTCGGTGGGGTGAAAGTTTTGTCATGAAATATATTATTTATAATAGTGATAATATATGTTTGCAATACTTTTGATTTGATGCTAGCTTCTCAACTCTACCAACTTTTTTATTGATTCATATTATGTTATAGTAAAAAATATGGTATACAATACATATATTAAAAAATAGGACATATATAAAATATTAAAAAAATCTATTTAAAAGAAAAGTATTTTACCATTTCACCAAGGTTGAAAAGTGTTGTAAAATGTGGCTTACTCGTGGTAGAAAACATCATACTGACTAAGATATTTTATTTTATCACCGTTGATCAATCATGATAGTATATATTTTCCAACCATAATAAAACATTGGGCTGAAAATAGTGTACACATGCCAATATAGAATTCATAAGCTGGCTTGAAGATGGATGGAAAATAAGATCTCTCCATTCTCAAAGACCCAATCAAATGGAAGGTAAATGCAGTTTTACCAATTGTTCATGCACAGGCCAAACCTAAACAAAACTAACTAAATAGTAGTATATTCCAAAAGGAATCATGCCTACAAGAATCTTTCTCATTCTTTAATCTTACTTTGAATCTGCGGCTGCGCAGTCATGCTAACCTATTGGAAAAGTAATAAACATATATTAGTAGATAGATTATATAAGATATTGACACATTAGAAGATCCTATAGAGTGAGAGATATGTGTATCACTTAAACTGGTTGAACTAAAGTATTTATATAAAGATTTATGATATTGAATAGAGACCATTCACTTGTAACTTAATTAATGCTCCACCTCTGTAAGTGGAGAGGGAAGGTAGGAGAGTCCCCTTATCTTTCTTCAGGGTCCATTTTGATTTGATGCTAGCTTCTCAACTCTACCAACTTTTTTATTGGTTTAGTATTATAAAATTTTCAATTTATGAACCAAAATTATTTTTAAGTACACTAAAGGACATGAAATAATTATTAGTATATGAGACCTATAAAAAAAATTTATTTGACTTATACACACCAACGGCCCAAATTTGAAGAACATGTAGTCCACTTATTTAGTCAATTCAATTAAAATACTTAATAGTTAATTATTAGAATCTTATAACATGACATTGACCTCTATACAAATTCTATAAATACCAGAAGATCCATAACTTGTCATATCAATTTCTTAAGAATAGGCTTATTAGTTCTCTCTAGTTTCTACTTTCTACTCACAAAAATTTTAACTTGCCTACCTTTTGTTTATCTAGAGATGGGTTTGTTTCAAGTCACAAAAAAATATTTGGTTGTTTTTCTAGTACTAAATATTGCATACAACAATTCATTTCTAGCAACTCAAGCTAGGCCAATTAAATCATTCAACCAACAATCATCACTAAGCGGAGAAAATTCGAGTGCAACTGGTTTTCGGCCGACAACACCAGGAAGTAGTCCTGGTGTTGGCCACCGAAATATTGTTGTAGAAGATAAGAACATGAAAACAATGGTGGTTGTTCGTAGTCCAAACGGTGAGGTTTTTCTGACTGAGCGATCAGACGATGGTTTCAAACCGACAAACCCTAGTCACAGTCCCGGGGTCGGCCATGCTTACCATACAAAAATTGGAAATAAAAATTAGGCATGTTATTGAGGAAATCCTTGTAGATATAAAACCATTTGAATTAGCAGAATATGTTTACCTGCAATAATGTCCTTAGTTTCATTATGTATCTTACATGGCACAAATCATGCATGTAACACATGAACTTGGACTTTTATTATTTTTTAGGAGCATTGGCTTTTGGTTATTGTTTGGGGGTTATAGTAGGGTGCTATCATTCAAAAAATGTTAAGTTTGTAATTGCTTGGTTAATGTAATAAAATCTTAGCAAAATAAATAAAAGATGTTGCTTTTATATACAAATGACTTCTCCCATTTTGGTATTGGTTTATTTATTTATGTTAGTAGTGTTACAATCAATTATAGTATTTATTAAATACTACAAGATAATTTTTTTTTACACTGGAAAAGAGTATCTAGTATTAAATTTTTAGGTTGATTTAACTTCACGATAAGTTCTATAAAAAAAATAATTTTATGATAAGTATTAACATTGACTTCTGTTAAAGGTTAGTCATTTCTCTTAATTAGTATTTAGGAAAAAAGATTTACAATTCAACTATTAAACTAAATTCTGTGTCTAAAGATATAAATGAAAGCGTTAGATTGGTGGAAAAAAAACTCAAAAAAAGAATTAAAAAATAAATCCTAACATAAGAAATTTTTAAAATTTTTGTACATCTCAAACGTGAGATATAGAATCAAAGTTCAGATGGTTAAAAATATTAAATATTATAACTTTCATATTCAACTAGTTAGTTATACAATAAAGTGGTTTAAAGAACATTGTTCCCTTGTTTTAGTTTTTTTATGAAAATAAGATGTAAGAAAATAAATGTATCTTTTAATATTTGTTTCATGTGCAAAAAGTCATTTGAAATAATCTAAGAAATTTATGTCTGGAAATAACACTTGAAAACATGCTCTGATGTTTCCCTTTAGCACTAATAATCTAAGAAGGAACAAGTAAATCATGATTTCGTAGAATGATCTCTTACAAATGGATCTAACTCCAAACAATAACTCAGTCTCACGGTCTATTCAACATTACACAAAAGTCAACTCTTGTTAATCGTCAAAAACAAAATCAAATTGTTATCATCTGATAAAAAAAATTAACCCCTAAAGATACAAATGGTTTATCATTTAATGTTTTTACTATCAAAAGTATAAAATTTAAAATTTTGTTCTTAGGAAGAAATAGGTTGGACCAGACGCTTGAGATAATATGTACAACTCATTTATAAGAGATGATATATTTTGAGAACAAATATCAAACACCATATCTGAAACATTGTATACTAGAAAATCCAATTTATAATACCAATTTATGACAGTTTAAATTGTACAAGATATTGAAATAGAAAAAGAATAAATAACACAATAATTGTTAATTCAGTTCTGTGTAAATCACACTACACCTGGGTGCACTCTACTCAAGAAGAGAAATTCACTATTTCTAATTAGTACAATTAGTCTTATTGGAACAACAATCTCATGTTGTTCAATGCCTATTCCTAATCTTAGTGACTTTCTATTTATGACTCCCTATAGAATTATTTCACTCCCAATAGTCAGAAGGACAAATTGACTAACTTTGAACTCTCCCGATTCAAGGTCACTTTCCCAATACTACTCATGAAGCTTTGTTCTACACTCCCCTAAATATGAGAAACCTCTCACTTTCACTCAAACACTCTTCTAAGTGTTTAGACATTACACTACGATTGATTAGATGAAACAACCGACCACACAACTAATTTGATCTCAAGCTTATAAAATTAGTATCTAGGAACAACATTTTACAACTCAACTAACAAGCCGAACTCTATGCCTTAAGATAAGAATGGAGACGCTAGATTGGTGCACAAAAATAACTCAAACAAAGAATCAAAAGATAAACCCTAACATAAGGAATCTTCAAAACTTGCATACCTCAAACGTGAGGTTTGAGTCTCCTTTTATAGAAATTATTCTTCTAGACTTTTTCTAATGGATATTTGATTTGATTTCGTCCATAATTATAGTTGATACAGTTGAGTTTTATTTACTCCACAAAAGTCTCCAACAAAAGATATGATTTATTTTTAATTCAAATTCAAATTTAAATTTGCATTTAAATTGATTTGATTTTGAAACATGCTGAAACAATGTGCTCCACATGTTGGACCATAACATTCAAATTAACTCTCTTCATGGAATATAAATCTTCTTTGTAGAGTATATATTAGATTAAATAAATCTGAACTAAATATTCCTTCAAAACAAATCCAATCAAACCTACTTTGACTAAATTAAATGTAAAATCTTTTAATCAAATCATATCATCCATATGCATGATTTCATAAACTCTTTTTTTAAATTGATTTGGATTAATAAACTTCTTCCAAAAGAAAACTTTCTGCATCTTCTGAAGCAATTAACACCAAAACAAATATGAAGATAATTATAACTCAATCCTTACGCCCAAGATATCCTACAACATGTGTTGAACATCTTGTTCAACATATTACATACAACCAAATCTTTGTGTCAAACACTTTACCAGAAACATGGACTGAACAAATATTCTTAGAAATAAACACAATGACACACAGATTTCTCACAAGTCTTGGTATGCATACCGAGATTAGATTCTATAATACATGTTGTAACATCTTATTCCATACGTTGCCTCTACACAAAATATATCTTGTACTTATGTTATTTTATCTAATGCACTCAATTAAATAGAATAAAAAAAAATCATATATAGAGACATTTGACATAGAACACAAAGTACCATAGGATAAGTTATGCACAAAAACTATTGCAAATAGTACAAGATTGTGTGGGATTTCTCTAAAATCCAATACAAGTACATACAACAGCTTTAATTTTAGGATTATTCCTTGGGACATTTCAATCAAGTCTATTGATATAATCACTTCTCCATTGTATGAAAAATACAAACTTTCACAATAACTTAAATACTTGATCTAATTTAATTGTTCAATCAATAATTACTAGAGGTGGCAATGAAATCCATTTAGATAATATCCATCCAATCCATCCAATAATTTATCCATCCAATCCATCCAATAATTTATCCATCCAATCCATCCATAAGACAAACTAATGGATTTGATCCAATCCATCTACTAACTCATATGGATGGATTCAATTCATCCATCTCATTTTATAAATCCATTAGATATTATGTTGTCACTTATTAAATTAAGAATTTTTAACTTAATATTTTGGATGGATGGATATCCATCCATTAGAAATATCTTAATGGATGGATTGGATGGATTTTATCTTTTAATGGATGGATTGGATTGAATTTTTATTAAGAGAGTTTATTGGATTGTTAATGGATTAATGGATTGCTTTGATCCATCCATTAACAATCCAATCCATATCCATCCAATCCATCCATTTTGCCATCCCTAATAATTACTTTATACATATTTAACCATTCGATTGTCATAATTCAAATTAATGTTCAAGAATAAACTATTAGGGTCTGTTTGGTTCAAATGAGGGGGAGGGGAGGGGAGGGATTTTAATGAAGGGGAGAGGAGGGGAGAGGAGGTGAAGGAATTTTTTAATCAAATATGTGTTTGGTTCAAAAGAGAGGAGGGGAGGGGAGGGGAGGGATTTTAATTAAAAATGTGTTTGGTTCAGAAGGGCAGGGGAGGGGTTTTATTAATAATTTACATTTTTATCCTTATTATCTTATATAAGTCATATGATATTAAAATGTGAAAAATTCGTGCGTATTTTTGTTGGTAATAAAATTTCTAATATTGAGTGATTAAAAAAATATTTATTTGTCACATAAAGTTTAAAAATTGAGTACAATCGATTCGACTTATAACTTTCCAACATAAATTAAACTATATGTCAATAACATCGTTTAAATTGTGATGAATTATATAACAAAACAAATATATAAAATAACTTATTACTAAATATTAATGGTTCAAAATATTTAATAAAATGAATAAACAAAAATAAATAAAATGATATGGTTTACAATTTGATATAAAAGAAAATATGATAGAGTACATAACAAAATTAAAAGAAAAAAATGAATATAACGAAACATAATTTTTTTTATAAAAAAAAGATAATGATTATGATTTATATTAATTATAAAAATTATAAAATAATTTGAAGGTGGAGAACAATTATAATAAGTTGATGAAAACAATCGAGAAAAAACAGTAACACAAAAGATAACAAATAATTTTGAAATAATAAAATTAAACTGAGGATATTTTAGTAAATATAATAATTTTTAAATATCAAAAATCATATTCCCTCCCCTCCCCTCCAAATCCCCCCAATTCGGAGGGAACCAAAAAGTGTGTTTTGGAGGGATTTTGCTCCCCTCCCCTCCCCTCCCCTCCCCTTCTAAAATTTGAACCAAACATATTTAATTAAAATTTTCCCCTCCCCTCCCCTCCCCTCCCCTCCATCTACTCCGAACCAAACACACCCTTAGATCTCATTTATTTGTTTGATCAATAATTACTATATACATATAGAGTAAACCTTAGTACAATAATATTCTTTAGTCCAAATTTAATAATACATGTAGATATGAACTTTTAATTTATTACTTAAGAAGAATTCAATATACTTGCTAAATTATCAATCAAGTTTTTGGTGTTGTTGTTTGGATTGTTGATTAATTTCAACAAGGTAATTAAATTGTACTTGAATTTATTATGTATTTTATTTTCTATTAATTTAAATTAAAAAATAATTTAAAAAAAAAAAGATTTTTTTCTTATGGAGAAGATGAAAAAGGCTAATTGGAAATAAAAATGGTTAGTAAGGTTAGCATAAGAAGTGCAGAAAAAAGAGTTAGTTAATACCAATACCTTAAACGATGAGCATGATAAAGAAAAGTAAGTTATGGCTAACGATCCACCTAGAAGGACTATGATAAAGAAAAGATGTAGTTAAGGACATTTATCAAAATGAATCACCCTTGATACCTATTGAGAGTGTTATTGTGAATTCTA